TTAACGAGCTATAAATTATTCCGGAATTTCTCTTTCTCACGGGGATAGGAACCCACGAATATTGAAACGATGGAAATTCGTCAATGGGCTCAATAGGCAACTTACAAGAACCCTAGCCAATCTGAGATTTCAAAACTTTTTAATGAGCTTTCTAGGATCAAGAACTAACAATGGTTTTCCAGTATATTAGCAAAAATGCATTACTTTAATATTTGGCGGGGATTTTCTTGGCTCCCAAAAGAGTTGTATCTTTGGAAACAAGACAGAGTTTATCTTGCTCTTTGACAAAATTCCTAATTCTTTCGGTGAGATTAACGCCTTGATATTCTTTTGATATTGAACACCACTGAACATTTTTAGTTTCCTTCTCATTTCTCCAGGTGAGTGAGCTGCTGAGCTGATTTCACGAGGGAACAGTTTTCTCCTACGTAAAAAGAGGGAAAAAATTTTTTAATATAACTACCAATTGTAAGTCTATAGTGTTATAAATATGAAAAAATTAAGTTAGGCATGATACTATATCATGGAGTATGTCGTTATCCGTTAAACGAACTCGGAGATTTTGGTTCCCTTCAGTTTATTCCGAAAACATTTGTTTTAACTGTCGGCAGTAGATGTCACATCGCACCAAAAGAATTAAAATGACGCGAAAACCTCGAAAAATGCGGATAGGACACAAGGAGCCATGCCGACTTAAATACGGATAATAAGCTCCCTTTTTTAATAATTAGAGGATGCGGTTAGTTTAGTTGAAAAATCACGAAGGATAAAAGCGTTTCAATCGAAAAAAGGTGTCAGAAAGTATTTGAAATGGCAGAGTTGCATGTCATTCTCACACCAGATAGGTCCGGAAGTTAACTTATGATCAACACCAGTTCATCAATGTTGGAAATGTTATGATGCATTAACTTTCAATAGGTCAAGAACGAGAATTAAATGTCTCTCGTCACTCAAAAGTGGTCGGGTCGTTTGAACATAAATTGGTTTCCCTGTTAATAGATGCACCCTGTTGTTGTGACTGGAGCTGGATAATCATGGAGTTGAAAAAAGAAAATCCAGATAAATATTACAACTTAAATGAGGAAATTGGAAGGTAGAGTATTTTACTTTAGTCACGGAAGATAACCAAGTCAGAGGCTGTAGGTAACCGAGCGGATACAAATAACCAGGGAATGTGATAAGTTGTTTGTGAAAGACGACCTTTTTTCGCGCGCAATACGTTAGTAGCAGAGTTGAATTTGTAAGTTTTATAGTTTAAACATAGAAAGCTTCTTCCAAAGGTTTCACCGCATACATCTGAGGAGCAGATTAAGCAGTGTCTTTCTTGAAGCTGACTGTGTCGTGGAACATGTACCTGCACATCGATCAGAACGTTGACTCAAATAGTCTAGACAGCAGTGAGGTACATCTCACTAAAGATATTTCATGCTGCGTGGTTATCGTTGAATTTGGGCTGATTTCCCGCTTTTTGTCGAATTAACGGTTTCTTTTACAGTCTAATTTGGCTTACCTTTACTATTGAACTTAATGAGAAGAACGTAACGTACTATCTTCTCAAAATTTTTCCTAATCTTTCTGTCAATTTTAGTATTTATGTCGTTAGTAGAGCGAGTATAAATTTTTACATTTTACTACAGAAAGAGAGCATTTTGCAATTTTCGAAATTTTTCCTTCGTTATCCTGCTCATTGTTTATTCTATCATTCAGAGCTAAAAAGGTATTTTTCTGACCCCATGCAAAGGTCATGATAATGGTATTATTCTTAAAGTTCTATTCATTTGTTTCCTAAACTGGAAACACTTAACGAGTTTAAATGACGAGTGAAGGGAAGTGTTTGACATCCTAAAACAAGTGATGTTGTTAGTCTCTTAAAACTCACCTGTGACTCTTCACGAACGGCAAACTGCTTTATACATCTGCTCTCTGCCTAAGTTAAAATTTTAAGAGTGCTTTGAAATTCAGGTCTCAATCCAGCCTCATCAGGGTGGAAAGAATCAGAAAAAATGTCAGATTTCCGACGAGAACTTTTATTTATAGTAACGTGAACTGAAATTTGTCGTTGATTTCGGGAAATATAAAAGGAATAGTTTTCATTCTTTACGCACAGAGCGTAGTCAATAATTCACTCAATGGGTCCAGTTAAATTCCCCGCATGCTACAGGGGTAATTTTTGTGTCCGACAAAAAATTGATTTGAAGAGAAAATTTTTTGTCACTGTTTTCCGATCTTCTATTAAAAACTGTAGGATTCTCGACTCTTCCTGACCAATCACTTATGAGTACAAACATGATTATGCGCAAATAGCTACCTACAAATACCGATATCGCTCACACTTACTAGGCAAAAGAGTTATGTTAGGTACAATCAATATTCAGATGCGAATTTTTTTTTTCAAAGCACTCGGGTATTCAGTAAGATCTGAAAAACTGGTCTCTCATTCCAGTAACTCGCCTGTTTCTTTGTATGGAGTGGTCTTCTCAAGAACTTACTCGTGAACTCAAAGTATATCGTTTGTTACTCAAAGTCGATGTTGATAATTATTTAAGGTATCACTTTTTTTTTTACAAAACAGTTGCCGGAGCAAAAAGGCTTTTAACCCGATACTTCGGTTAGGAGGGGAAAATTGAGCATATCGACAATACAGTGCAGGCAATTTGCGCACCGCGTTATCTAAACATTTAATCATTGACAAAATGGGCATGAAAAGTGTTTGCGTCGTGACAGGTACAGTTATGTCTTTTGAATATTGAGTCGTAGCCGCGGAGATTAAAGAAGGCATGGTATTCCACACTGTATATTTGCTATGTTTCTGTGCGGAATCAGTTAACTTTTTTCTTCTATCCATTGCCAGAGGTAAATACGCCGTTGTCAAAAATTGCTCAGACAATAAAACGAGGAAACAATTAGTTGCCAAGCTGATCAAGTACGAGGCTGATACCGAGAAGAACACAAAGCAAGAATTCGAGATAATGGCAACCCTTAAACACGATAAGCTCCTGACGGCTCAAGATGGATTCATCGTCCAAAAATATGTGGTTATCGTAATGGATAGGTGGGTACCATTTATCAACCACATGATAATCATAACACCACTGTCTAAGTCAAATTTGTGGCATAAATCACGTGGGCCACTATAAGAATAACTGCGTGTTTCGAAAGCCTTCCCTCCGTCATTATCTCCCCCTGGAGAGCGTTTCAGATTAACTTTGACAGATCAAATGCGTTCCTTTTTCGTTCATAGGGTTGAAGGAAAAGAAGTACTCGAATTCCTGGCAGAAAAAACCACTGCAAGTGAAGAGGATGCATCCCTTGTCATTGCTCAGCTTGTTGATGCTCTTACTTATCTGCACAAGAAGAATATTGTTCATCTGGATATCAGGGTGAGAATGAAGACAAGAAAACAATTTTTGTAACGACCTCGCACATCGGAGCAAAGAAGAAACCTCGTTTTGCTCAATTACATGTCCATCTGATATTATTAATCCTATTGACGCATTTGCTTTAATTTTATTTCAAATGAAACAGCCGGCAAACCTTTTTGTGTCCAGAGACTTTAAACTGACTCTAATCGATTACGGGAACGCCAGGCGGATCCAATCTCCCGATGGCCAATTTGTTGACGCGGTTGGAGTCACTGAGTTCACAGGTGGGAAATAATTTTGTGATATTGTACGATTCTCGATATTAAGAGAATAAATCGTGGGAAGAATTAGAAGTGAACTTTCGATTACCAGAAATGGTAAGGTTGAACCTTTAGTGAAATAGAGACTTTTACCACAGCCACATTGTCGACCTTTTTCTCATGTTTTCATCTTTTCTATCACAAATCAAGAATTTCTCTAGATCACTTTTTCTTCAACGATATAATTTTTCATTCATTCTGTCGCTGACCTTCAACCTCAAAACCCTCCAGTTACTTCGGGAAAAACATTCATGAATGCAAGAAACTCTTCAACATGAATTTTGTTGCATTGTTGGTCTCTGATATTTTGATTTTAGCTCCAGAGGTACTCAACTTTGAGATGACCCATTGGGGAGCAGACATGTGGAGTGTGGGAGTACTCCTGTACATATTGTAAGTCTTCTTAAAAAGTAAAAACAAAACCAACAAGAAATCACAAACGGTGAGATGCTTTGGTTTACTGACTGACCGATCAATCGATTGCCGCAATGATTCGAATTTAGCGCCCTCCTTCCGATAAGCGCCCCTTCTCTAATAAGCGTCCCTACTGAGTAAGCACCCTCATTCCAATAAACGCCACTATTCTGTTTCAGTAATAGCACTGTTAAAGTACATGTACATTGAGATCAACCGTGCTTCAATTTCTTTTAATTGCTCACTTATAAGCATCATGAAAAAAACAGTGGTCTTCGTCTCAGTCTGTCGACTATTATGTTCCGGTGAGTGCACAATTCCTTCAAACGAAATATCCCGTCTTAAAATTTTGTGGCCATTGCTTGGCTAGTCGTTCTAGCAAGGAAGGATCCAAGGACAACAAGTCCGTTTTCCAGTCTTTTTTATCCTTTTCAAATAAACATCAAAGCTTTGTTTCATATCCCGCTGTTTCTCAAAAAAGAAACAAGCGCCCTGTCCCTAATAAGTTCAGTGAGCGCCCTGTTACGAATAAGCGCTTTCCCCTGAAGTTCCAAAAGTAAATACGCGCCCCGGGCGCTAAATCGAATCATTACGGTAATCGGTTAATTAACTGTTGGATGAACTGGGTGATTTCTTTATTAATTGTTTAATTTAGTTAACTAGCCGATTGAATGATTTATCTTTACAGGTTAAGTGCTACCCTACCCTTCACCATAGAGGACAGTGACGACCAAAATGCTGACGACAAAGTTGCTGCAAAAGTCAAATCAGTTTCATATGAAATGCCGGTCAGCTTGTTTCGCAACGCCACACAAGAAGCCGAAAATTTGATCAAGAAACTTCTTATTAGACAGCCTGAGTAAGTATCGCATTCTTAGTTTGAAACAGTCGTCAGTAAACCAATAGATCGGATGTTAAATGACTGAATGAGCCGTGAACATATATTCCATCAGAGTTTTGTCTTATTTTAGGAGACGACCGACAGCTTCATCCTGCTTAGATGATCCCTGGCTCTCGGTAAGACTCTAACATGATGTTCAACTGGTACACTTGTAGTTCACGCGAAAAAGAAACTCTGATGGAAAATGAAGAAGCTTAAAAAGTTAATCAAAAAAATTGAGCACACCGCTTTTCAGCGCCATTCGCTCTCTCCTTGTTTAGCAAGAGAACCTCCGCATCGCCAGCATCTATAAAATAACAGCTAACTTCACCGTTAATAATGGTAATACAAACGAGTGGAGTCCAATTCGGTCTGTAACCATAGGAGTGATTAGAGTGATTTAGCACGAAACGAAACGACAGCGACGCAAATCATAGAAAAAAATTATTTAGTGGGCTTCAAAATTTGATACTTTTAGATGAATTAGCAGACTCGAGACTTAACTGGAATGAAATAATTTCAAAGTTTAATCGCGCATGTGGATTCATATTTACAAATTACTTACCGTATCTATAACTATCCTCTGTTTGCGCTTGTTATACAACTCTCAAAGAATATAATTTCTTGGTCTATGAAACCAAAAATTCAAAGGTGATGGTGATCTTAAAAGAACCGAAGTTAGGATATTCAAGGACAAATATAAAGTTGACGGCTCGATGCAATGACTGCTAAGTCACTTCTGAGACACAACAGGATGACGTTCACGACCCAGTTTCTCACCGTATTTTTGCTGCGCGCGTCGTTGTCAACAAAATCGGACGACCGCGAAGCGGGAGTCCAATTTGTTAATCACTCGTATGATTACAGATAGAATTGGACAACACGAAGTCTTGTTACCAATTAATCAAGACTATGACAAAATTTGGGAAAGAAACTGGACATCGGTTGTACGTTTTCATATAAAAAAAAAAGTAGCAGTTAATTCTCGAAATGCAAGACAACAGCGCGCGTACATGACGCGTTCTGTCCACTTACACAGGCATCACGAGTTAACTGTCCTATTATCATTATCAATTATAAGCATGACGCGTACACTGTCCTATTAGTGCTCAAATCGAGCTGGTGATAACCAATCACGTTCGAGAATTTTGTTATAGTTTTGATTAATAAATGTAATGGGACCGAGTGGAGTCCAATTCGGTCAGTAATCATACGATTGATTGACAAAATCGGATGACCGCGAAGCGGGAGTCCGACTTGTCAATCACGAGTATGATTACAGACTGAATTGGACGGCACAAAGTCCTGTTACCAAATAATCATAACTGTTACAATTTCCGAAAACAAAAATACATTTAGGACAAATATGTGCAGCAGAGACAATATCTGAGTATAAAAATTCTTCAACTTTAGAAATTCCACAACTTTTTTAGGATAAGTGGTTGTTGCTAATGGTTATTGTGATCAATTTTGTGATTGGTGAATTTGACTGAAAGGACTAAGTATTATTGGCCGCTCCAACTGTCCGATTACAGGTGTCTGATTACAGCCAACTGTCCGATTACAACTCTACGAAATGATTAGTGAAAAATAAGGCAGCTACTGCGCCAGACACATCTGAGGAAATTGTGCTGATTATGATTAAATTTGAAATAAAAAAATGCACATTGCATTGATGCGCATATTTGTCTTTTCAGCCCATCCTTACTCAGAAAAGGAAATCCTCCGAGATACCAGCTTCCAAATTTAAATTCCTAAATGATCAGCTGAAAGAAGCGGTAAGTGAGTGAAAAACAACCTAAATCAATTAACCTAGTTAATCATTTCTACAATTATGGATTGGAGAAGATGCTGAAATGTTCTGTATTCAAATGTTTATAATTCAAACAAGAATAGCAATTGTCAGTAGGGACGTCTGGATAGCGTTGTGACAATCAGTAAACAGGACAGTCAGTTAGTTATCAGTAAGTGAGTTATTTGATGAAGAGACAGTAAATAAATTGTCAGTCACTTAGTTAGTTAGTCATTCAGTCAGCAATCCACCAATCAGCCAGTCAGTCAGTCATTCAGTCAACCAGTCAGTCAGACAGTCAGTTAGTCAGTCATTCAGTCAGCAAGCCAGTCATTCAGTCAGCAATCCACCAGTCAACCAGTCGGTCAGTCATCCAGCCAGCCATTCAGTCAGTCAGTCATTCAGTCAATCTTCAGTCGGCAATCCACCAGTCAGCCAGTCAGTCATTCAGTCAGCCAGTCAGTCATTAAGTCAGTCAGCCAGTCATTCAGTATGCAGTCAGTCAGTCATTCAGTCAGCCAGACAGTCAGTCATTCAGTCAGCCAGTCATTCAGTCAGTCAGACAGCCAGTTAGTCATTCAGTCAGTCATTCAGTCAGTCATTCAATCAGCCAGTCAGCCAGACAGTCATTCAGTCAGCCATTCAATCAGCCAGTCAGTCATTCAGTCAGTTATTCAGCCAGTCAGTCAGCCAGTGAGTCATTCAGCCAGTCAGTCAAACAGTCAAGCAGACAATCATTCAGTCAGTCAGTCAGCCAGTAAGTCATTCAGTCAGCCGGTCAGTCAGTCATTCAGTCAGCCAGTTGGTCATTCAATCAGCCAGTCAGTCATTCATTCAGCCAGCCAGCCAGCCAGTCAGTCAGTCAGCCAGTCAGTCAACCAGTCAGTCAGTCAGCCAGCCAGTCAGTCAGTCAGTCAGTCAGTCAGTCAGTCGGTCAGTCAGTCAAACAGTCAGGCATGCAATCATTCAGTCACTCAGTCAGTTAGCAAGTGAGTCGATTATTCTCATGGTCAGCTAAGGAACCAGCCAGCCAGTCAGTGGTACCTAGTCAGTCAATCAGTTTGTCAGCCAGCTAGTCAGTCAGCGGCACCCGTCAATCAACCAGTCCGTTAGTCAGTCATTCTGTCAAGCAATCAGTCAATTTATCAGCCAGTCATCTGCGTATACCAGGATACCATGGTTACTAAATGCAGCATTTGGTTTGCATTATTTTAGGAAGAGGACGAACTGATTGTTGCTTCGTGCGTTCTTCGCTCGTTTGACGAAGAAGCTTATGAGTCCCCTGAGGAGGAAGAGGAGGAGGAGAAGAAGGAGGAAGAGTAGAACAAAAAAACTTCCTCAAAACCAATGTACAAAGATGCCGTAACTCTTAAGAGGAAACCAAAATATAGGAGATAGCAAGATTTGGTCAAAAGGAAATGAGACCTAAGTGAGACTGTCGTTTTTCTTAACGAGCTGGTTCTCGAAGAAAGAGCGCTTTATAGAAGAAAGAAAGAGATACGAGAATAACAGACAAATCTCAGAAACATTTTTGTATTTCTTAGTGGATTGGGAATAAAGTTTCTTTGACCACTCCCGATAGTGGAGAGATTTGGACTGTTGATTTAAAACTTGCACGTAGGATAAAGAAAGTGTCACTCTTCTTTTTTATTGATCATTGACGGTTTGATTGTTGATTTTAAATCGTTTGAGGCTACATGTACGTTAACTTTAAAACAAACTTCAACTTGATGCATAATTATTATTGATGAGCCCCAGTGGAGCGAAATATGATTGCATTCTGGTGTATGTCAATTAAAAGTCGTGCGAACCTCGTTAACAATCGCTGACCAAGATGAATGCTGACACAGGCGCACCATTGGGTTACTGACCGTCTTAGCGTTTTCTTGAATAACCTAGATATGCTTTCGTATCAAATGGCTTGTTTTGATGAACCCGACAAATTTTAGCCTCTTTGTGGATACTGTGGACGCTTATTCGCACGTGCTTGAGAAATTCTCGCCATTTGTGATAAGCTCAAATCCATTCAAATAAAAACAAATCTTTGTGTTTTTATACACAAAATTATTAATTAGTTACATATTTCTATTTTTAAATTTTAGTCCTATTATCAAAGCAGAATTAGATTAGCGCATTTACACTAAGTTTTTCCAAATAGTTCCCTATTAATTTATAAATCATCATTGTCACCAACAGTGGATTAAAATGTCCTTCAAATTCTTGCTGACGCGTCTCCAGGTATGAAAGTTATTGGCGACGGTGAGCGTGAAATTGTGCTTTAGAACAGCCTGAATTAACGCGAGCTTACCCCTTAAACTCTAATAATAACTTCGAACTGCTATAGATGATACTGTCACAATATCTTAGAAGAACTTACCTCTAGCTCTGTCCGTACTCGCAAAATTGTCTCATGTGATGGCTAGCTTGCTCTCGATTTGTGTAGCTAGTAAAAGAAAATAAACCGCTCGAGTAACCAGTCAGCGGTTCACTTCAAGAATCAACCAACATGGCTGCCCAGCCTGATCGAGAAAAACACAGCATATGGTGGGGCGATCTTTTCTCATTTACGAAGCTTTTGAACTGATTTCAACAAAACGCAACATTGATTTATTCTGATCTTTTCTTAGCATGGTTTCCGATTTCTTTTACCCAAACATGGGCGGAGTAGAGAGTCACATTTATCAGCTGGCTCAGTATCTCATTGAGCGAGGACATAAGGTAATCTAACATTCATCGTGTTTTGTTTTCTGCAAAATGCCATAAGAAGAGAGATAAAAACAACCATTCGAAACAGCCCTTAAAAGGTTAGATTTACAGACTGAATATATTCTCACCCGAACTGTCATTTCGTTTCAATCGTTATCGCATTACAATCATGGTTAGGGGGATTCCCCATTGACAGTTTCTTTCGCCTAGTCTGTTAGCATTAAACTTTATCCCTTCAGCACAAGTGAGTTCAAAGAATAATTTTGTTTACTGATTATATCTGTAATGAAATCAGACATATTTAAGCCCTTCAGAGTCCTAATTTTACACTGACATACAAGTTACACTGATATACAAGTGTAAAAAGAATAGGAAAAAAATGTCAATGACAACTACCATCAGAGTTGACAGGTCATGTTAGAATTTAATAACTTTCATGTCAGGTCGTGATTGTAACACATGCCTATGGCGAGCGAAGTGGAATACGTTATTTAACAAACTACCTCAAGGTATGCAATGGTTCCTTTGTCGCCTTTGTCATATTTTCTGTGAAATAGAAACTTTTGGAGTATGATTGTTCTAAATCTTTACTTTGTGATGTTGCTGTTTTTAGTTTTAATGCCACACTAAGTCATCCAGATGAAGTGTGCAAAATTCCAATCGATAAAGACATGCAAGCCAATCAAGTGACAGCATTAGAATCAAAACATTGCACAATCTTGAAATAATGAACACAGCGTTTATGTTTTACTGTCTTCTTACAGGTCTATTATTTACCTTTTGGTCCATTTCACAATCAGTGTGTACTGCCAACTCTGTACACAACAATTCCATTGATGAGATGTGTGTTTCTGCGAGAGAAGATAACTATAGTTCATGGACATTCTGTAAGGCATTGCTTTTAGTATCATTATTTATATTTTATTAGTGTTTTTATCATTGTAGTTATCCTTCAAGTATTGGTTCTTCTGGCAAGATTTTATATCAAAGTAAAATATAAGTTATGCAGCTAAAAATTGGAATCTTTTTTTTTTGTAAACTTTATTGCAAGCTAGCAACAGGTTTAGAATGGTGGGTGGGGGAGACAGATTAGTAGGGCAAAAAAATTCAGGTATTTTCTTTTCTCAATTTCCTTTGGTCAGTTCCATTTTCTTCATTCTTTTTCTGCATCACTTGCCTGTCTGTAGTTAATCAAATATCAGTATGAATATATTTTCTGTGTCTTTTCTTTCCTAGGCCTTTTCTACTCTTTGTCATGATGCTCTTCTTCATGCTCGCACCATGGGACTTCGTACATTATTCACTGACCATTCTCTGTTTGGTTTTGCGGATGCTAGTTCTATCATAACCAATAAGTTTTTACAGTTTTCCTTGGCAGACATTGATCATGTGATCTGTGTTTCACATACAAGGTTTGTGGTAACCTCAATTTTTATAACACTAGCATCTCATTTATTTCATGATGAATGTTCTTTGACTTCAAAACATTTATGTTAAACTAAAGTAAGCATATGGTGGAGCATATGCCATTAGCTCCCCACAAGGTCAGATCTTAATATAGTTGTCATATAACTATATGAATAAATAAAAGGTCGGTATAAACTAGGAAGTTATCATGATGAAAAATTGTCCACTTGAATGAAATGTAGTGAGGCTACTTCAGATAGTGATCATAATTGGATCATATATTTGTAATAATGAAGCAGAATTAATCTCCTAGGAGATTCTTGTCAGTTTGTTCTACCTGGTGTGTTATTTTTACTATCTGAATATTTAATTTTAGTTTATTCTACCTCACATCAATTGGTCTTTGTTTACCTTGATGTTGTTTACTTTACTAGTAAGGAGAACACTGTGTTGCGAGCATCAATGAAGCCTGACATGGTATCAGTGATTCCTAATGCTGTAGATGCCAATGTATTTACACCTGATGTTTCAAAGAAAATTCCAGGAAAAAGTGAGCTGTTGAAATATTGAAGTAAATTTTTTTTTCATAAATGATTGCATGAGTGAACATTTAATCTGAGATGATAGGTAGCCAATAAGGCATGTTGTATTTGTGTGTGTCAGCTGTGACTATCTGATATTGGACAAGTATGTGTTGAATTTAACTGAGTAATTGAAAACACGGAAACTAATATCTCAAAATCTTCCACTAACAAACACTGAAAAAAGAACTGTAAATGGAGACTAAGCTCAGATATCTTGTTTCATAAACCAAGCAAACCTCAGGATTTTCATGCTAGTTTTATATGTACACTTAGTCAATCCCGACATATATTTGTGATATTGTGGTGAATTAACATTTTGAGTTTTTTATTAGTCACCATTGTGGTAGTAAGTCGGTTGGTGTATAGAAAGGGTATGGATTTGTTGGCTGGAATACTCCCCATCATGTGCACCAATCATTTAGATGTCCAGTTTATTATTGGTAAGTCCATGTAGGAGAAGACACTTTTAAAGCTATTTACCAGCTTAAGTTGTCTTGAAGATCTTTGTGAAATTGTGTGTCATTATTAGCACCAGAGATCAATGGAAATCGTCAATCCCTCTCAAGATCTGATTGTTGATTCTACCCCCTCACTTCTATGCATTTCCTTGTAAATTAGTTATGAGAATTTGGTGTTAGATCAAGATAACAACTTGTATCTGTTAAGTCTGAGTATTAAAGGGTTAAAAGGACTTGAAATCTTGACTGAATAAAATGTTTGTATTATTTAATGAAGTATATTTATTTTGTGTAGGTGGTGATGGCCCAAAAAGAGCTCTCCTAGAGGATGTTTGTGAACAGTGTAAACTCCAAGAAAGAGTCAAGTTTTTAGGAAAATTAAAACATGAGAAAGTTAGGGATGTAAGTTTATAACTTTACTTTCTACCATGGAATGTTAAGAATTCTCGGATGAATTACAGATGAAATTTTATGTTTTAGTATAGAACATGTTCCTAGGCATTTCAAATTGTTGTTAATTCCTTACTAGGTGCTCACTCAAGGTGACATATTTCTCAATACATCATTAACAGAAGCATTCTGCATTGCTATTGTTGAAGCAGCTAGCTGTGGGTAAGTTTTAATTAAACAACAAATTTTTGTTGCCAGTTTTTGACAGGCATCTTAGGGTATCAAGTTTGTGAATGACATGTTGACTTTGGATTTTGATAGTTTTCAAATTCAAACTCAAGCCCTTATTATTAGGAAAATATCAACACTATTTTGTTGGTAATACTAAGGTTGTAATAAAAGTAGCCATTCCATTGATAGCAATGATTTTTTACACCAGGCTCCAAGTGGTCAGCACCAGAGTGGGTGGGGTCCCTGAGGTACTACCAGATGACATGATAAAACTTGCTGAGCCAAGTGTGAAATGTAAGTTAAATGTCTCTATAAAGTGATTTAATGCATGGAAAAAGCCCTGAGTGACCTCTCTCTGTTAGAGTACTTCTTTCTCCTTCTACATTGTCTTGTATTTCCTCACAAAAACACAAGAAGAATTTGAGTTTGTATTTTAAGTTACTCTGAGCTTTTTACCTCTGTACTTTACATGTTAACCAAGCGAAGAAACAATTTGTGAAAAAAAGGTCAAAGCATTCTAACATCCTAACATCATTACTTAGTAAGACTTTTTTCGTATAACTTTTTTGCCTCAATAGAGGGCTGTATAGAAGATGACTTAAAACTTCTTTTTATCGATTAAAGGAAAACAGCAATTTTACAGAAATGTTTATGAAGAGATATTTCCACAACATTTTAACGTGGTAAAAAATTTCAAACTTGAGAAGCCAGAGTAAATTTGTGTGAAAGTGTTCTGAAAAAATTGCAGTTGACATGAATGTGACCATGTAATTTATTGAGACAGTAGTAAAAGCACAAGTGAGATTTAATACTATACAGTTCAGTCCCCACGAGTGATAACTTAATATTGATGTCTATTAATGTGTAATGCGAGCATTCTGACAGAATTGGACCTGAAAAATTGCGCTACTGTTCCTTCCAGTGAGTGTGAGGTGCTTGGGTGGACGAATTTTTGATTTAACAATGTTCTCAAATTGTTTAGCAGTTGGAAAGACTTCATTCACGAACTATTGACGGTGTGCCTGTTTTGGAAACATTATGTTACAGAAAAGCGTGAGGAAAAATTCAAAGGAGAAATGTGATTCTTATGATTGAATTTGTTTCTGTTCCAGAATGCTCTTAGACATGTGAAGTGTGTTCGAAGAAACCCGAGGAACCATCTGTATAAGAAATTATCTAACGAGCGAAGCCTTAAGTTGAAAAAAAGAATTGTTTTCTTAGTGTGGTTTGCAAGGTTGTGAAAGTCATCTCTCATCAGCAAGTCATACTTCGGGTTACGCGGTGTTAACCATTTTGCCGCAAAAACAGGAGACCAATTTTATTAGGCAATTTAGACAGTGTTCAGTTGAAAAGCATAACCAATTCTAATAAAACGACCAACAAATTAATACTAATTACACGTAGATTAATAACTTTAACATACCGTATTTCAGCTCTCGTGGCAGCTTTGGAAAGCGCTGTAGAAGCTGCAAGAAACAATACATTTGTAGCGCCAAACGTAGCCCATGAACGAATAAGGACAATGTATACATGGCAGAATGTAGCTCGACGAACAGAAAGAGTAAGTTTGCGCTCTCTTTTGACACATTTTCTTCACTTAATCTTAAATTTGAAAGTTTTCCAATTCCCACGCGCTTTGCGCGGGAAAACTTGAAAAAAGCAGTAATGAACAGGAGACACGTTATCGCTGTCAGTTACGTCACCTGTCAGTCTCGTTTCCATGGTTTCTCCTTTCATAATTGGAAAATAAGCCTTGAGATTCACCCTCAGGTTCAACATCACGTAAACTGCGTGACACACAATGACAGGGAAACACATATACAACAGTTGTAGAGGTGTTTTATAGAGAGGAGAAACGAAAGCTTTATATAGCGACGAGGAATTTCACTCGTGCCTTTACTCTTGATGAGGGTTTGTTCATTGGAATCACTTATTGCTGGATAATATGTTTGCATTTTGTTTTTTAATTTGTTAGGTCTATGACTTGGTTAGCACAGTACCTCGTGTTTCATTTGACGAGCGACTCAAAAGGTAACACGTCAAGCAGTTTAACGAATATCAAATCGTTATTTCCAATCGCACGGTTTTCCCAAACTTATATCAAGTTTATGACTTTTTTATTTATATCCCGGCAAGACTTTTCCTAAGTTCTTGCCATCAATTACTTTTATTCTCCTTTTGGATGTTCTTTTCCTTTATTTTAATCTCGATTGTATTTTATCATTATTAGCTTGTACCACTGCGGCCGTGTGGCAGGAAAAATTTTCTGCATTTTAGCAGTAATTGATCTGTTTTTACTGTGGCTTCTCGAATGGTTTTTTCCGAGAAAGGTAGGTGCATATAACAAAGCCGTTTTCCTCAGAGTTGTCTATGCCCTGTTTATTGATCAGACATTTGACTGTCACGTGAAGCCTGTGGTCCCGTCATTTTTATGCTACACACCCCTTCCTCTCCCTCCCCTCCCTCCCCTCCTTTCCCTCTATGGGTGCTTGATATTTGAATCCTTAATAGTCAAGAGGTTTTGGTTTCCTTTCAAGATAACAGACCCTTTAGCCCAAAAGGTTGTTCACTCATCGCTTGTTGTCTGCTGTTGTATGCTGAATTTTTTTTTTTTTTTTTTACTTTTAGAATATAGATATGGCACCCTCTTATCAAGAACAGAAAGACAAATGGAATTCCAGAGACGAAATCATAACATCTGGTCAAACAGCGTCAGTGATCGACAAGAAAAGACAAATCGATTGTTCTCTCGTGAGATGACATTTGCAAAACGTACGCGATGCGAAATTACAAGGAAGTGTTATGTTAAAGCTTGAGATTAACATTGAGGGGCAAATATAAAATAAATATTTGAAATATTATGATCCTCTGTGAGCGAACATTTTGTATAGGTAATCGCAAGAGGCCGAGTAAAATTAGAGTAGTTTATTGTAACATGTATGGAAAAACTACTTAATGCTGATTGGCGAAGACAGATGGCATTATCTATTAATTTTGGTAATTATTCCGGAAGAAATTACTCGAAATTGAAAACAATGAAAAAAGCTCAACTTTAGAAACACAAGCTGTGAAAAGAAATTTCATATCTACAAGCAGCCATATATTATTTTGTTTATCACATAAACACAATAGCCCTTTACTGACAAGAAAAGTCAACTTTTTTAATGTATGAAAATAAAAGGATCGACAATCCCCCGAATAAAAGTCGTAAGGTGCGTTAGTGCTAAGGCTCAAGACGAAAAATGCGTTGAAACACCTCAAAAATGAACAATGGACGTAGTTTTCAATATACAAAATTCTCAGTTATTGACTTGGTTTTTACCGACAAAAGAAATAATTCAGGTAAACGACCAAAATCAGCCCGTGGCAAATCTTCCAGTTGTCGATTTTCGTTCCCAGCCGCGAGAAACGCCATTGAATACGAAGCTCTATGTTTTTCTTCCAGTATTTTGGTTCCTGTCCTTCTAGGAAAATTAGAACGTCACCGCCTGTGAGCGATACGGATTTTTCAGTGTTTTAGCAGCCACAATCCAAAAAATATTCGACAAACGACGTTAAATTAGGAATGATTTTGCCGTTCATTCATCAACCTGACCAAGTGGCGCGAAAGGCGAGTGATGTGTCATCAGCGATATAGAACACGTGAAAAAATACGATATTCTTTCACGTGTGCTGTTACGGCTTTTGTCAGGGCTGGAAATCCCTGTCTAATACCGTGGTTTATATGATGAAATCAAATTTTTACCTTTATATTGTAAACAAGTGATCGCATAAGGCCGAGTGAAATCAAGGATTAGTGTCACTTGTGTTTTCAGAAGTTGCAGAAATTGTCCGCGTTGCTGCGCGACACGGCCTATTTCTGGAATTTTCTAAAACTCGCGTGATATTGACTGTTAATTTTACTCGGCCCATGCGATTACATAAACTTATATAATTGTATGCACTGTTATATATACTTATCAAAGACAAGAGTGATTATGAAACCAAACAGATTTCGTGAACTAGCCGGGGATCAAGGGGGTGATTGTCCCAAAGATTCAGCCTCCCTTTCATGACTAAATATGCCTCGTTTTGGTTACAGTATACGGCTGTAATGGCGGAGGTTTATTGTCTCTAACTGACAAGATATGTTCTCTGATTAATTTTCCCCCATAGCTTGAAGTATACTTGAAGGATACTTTTTATGGCGCCGTATACTGAATTTTGTGGTCTTAAGCTCACTTAAATCAAAGTGTTGGACGCTATTGAAGTGGATAAAATGGTTGAGTTGGACAGATTGAAAAAATTCATGATATGTACGTTCGTCATCGCCACGGCTTCATTTATTGTGATGTTTTACTACTCAGTCACTTTTTCGAATTATAAGGCATTGGGAACGAATTATTTAAGAGGGTTAAAGAGGAACAATCTAAGCAAAGGCATATATTTACCAGACTTGATTCTTGGCAGTTTCCAAGAGTCGTCAAACTCAACTGGAGAAACACAACTTACAAATTCCGGGCAACCAACTTTGAGCTCGAATGAAGTAGAGATCCCCAAAGAGTCAGGGCAACAGAATACACAGGATCTAGACAATGCTATCAGCAGTTTTAACCAAGTAACGATTCGGCATACGAAAACGGAAAAAGGACAAAGCACATCAAATACCACCGTAGCCATTTTCACTCCAACTAAAGAAGCCGGTAGCAATGAAAATTCTGATCAGGAATTGAGTTTATGTCCTGAAAAATCACCATCTTTAGGTAAGCTATGTTTTGTTTTAATCATTGATTATGTGTTATAGCCTTAGTGACTGAGGGAGAAGCTGCGTCGGAAAAAAACATTTTATTTGCTTTAAGACTGTTTTTCACATGAGTTGCTCTCTACCCGTGCATTGTAGCTTGACTGCCTAACGTTGCGATAAATTTATAATTTACTTGGATAATAAAATTATCATCAACTGATTTACACGGGTCCTCTTTTGAGCGATCCAGCTACGCAAGTCTTAATTCATCCTAAATTGCAAGTTGATTGGAGTTTTTTTTATCAGTTTAATACCATTTAACACCTCCTCGTTTTTCGCTTTTACCTGAAGTATTCAACCATGTTGCATAGAAACGAATCTCCTTCTTTCGAGAATGATAGTAATTAACATGCATATTACTTTTACAACGCAAAAGGTCTCCGGCAGGTCTTGTAAATGATTGTTTACTTAGAATTCTCTTAACTCTTGCTCAATGTGGCACTGATTCTCCGATCAATTACTCTGTTATGGGCTGTGTGCAAGTGATCAACGATATTGATTCTTGTTGGAAATATTTAGGACGAAACAGTTGTCGGTGAGAGAGACTCCAAGCCAGAGAATCATAAATTGTTACTTGCAATTTTTCCTTAAACAGGAATAGAAATTATGATATCATTAGCAAAGATATATCTTGCCGGAGTATGCAAAATATATGGTATATAAATGCAATATTTGACCTTCCTGTTCTTCCAAAATTTCATCTATAGGATCACTGTCTCAAACAGCGCTCTAAGATTAATGATGAGTTTATGAAACTGTACAAATATTATAATTTTAGGTAAATAGCTACTATTTAACTTCTCTACAATGTCTCAACTTAAGCAGAATCAACTATTTGATATTTAACAAATATATTCTGTGTTGCTGTGCTATTCAGTATTATCACAAATGATATCAAAATTTAATGGGGTGAGAATCAATCAAATTGCACAGAAGACCCAGCCAAGTGTATCATTGATGTTCTTTCTATATTTTGACACATCTTCTCTGATCTAGCGAGGTACAGACCCGTAGCAACATGGAATCTATTTGTCTTACATGTTAAAAAAGAAAATGTTGTGAGTGGTGATGTCACCTGTGTATGTCCTCCAAAAGATCATGAACAAAGTGCATATAATTCAGCTTCTCATGTAAACAGTGTTCAATACATAAGCAGAAGTTTCTTTAAAAGTTTTTATAAATTCTTGTGGATGGTGAAATAGTTGTCAACAATCACAGAGGACTGTACATTCAAGTACTAAAGAAAATATGTAATTCTTTAACAGGGGTGATAAGAGGATTTACTGAGCATTTTAAGGGGAGATGGGGTGGCTAATACTTGGCTTGTAATAAAATCGGTGTCTCAAGAAGGATTTGTGAAGGGTTAGGATGAAAAAAGGGATGGGGAGGTTCAGTGAGGCTTGAATGTTTAATTGAAATCTTACAAATAATGAAAAAAACACAGATATCTTGTATGTTTACTTTTTGTACTCCAGGTTTGTATGGATTTTAATGTAAAGATGAATTTTTAACCTTTTTAGCCTATTAAAATACTCTCTAAGAACTAGAAAATCACTTTGTGGAGCAGACTGTATGGTGCTGTTTTGAAAACTTCACAAGTCTGATATTACATAGGAAATTTTTAGGGCAGCCTTCAACACTTCTTGTAATATCTATAGTCTCTATCAATATGGGAATTCCCTTCTGCAATGGTATGACTTATGGTGTATCTCTCATGAAAGAAACTGCAGACTACACCATTCCCTATCTTGTGGTAGGAATAAATGTTTTGATAATATTTTTTTTACTCTTTTTTAGTTGGACCTTTGTATGTAGACCCAAAAATTCCTAAGATAGAAGATGTTGAAAAGGTCATGTCAAGTGATTTTGATGGCTGGGTTGACCATGGAGGTCATTGGAAACCAACTAAATGTAAAGCCAGGAAGAAGGTAATGAGTTCAATTAGTTCTGTTTAATTGAAAAGCTCTTTTTTCTCTTTAACTCTCAAGATTTCAACAGTGGTTATACTATGCATCACATTTCATTTGTATTGTAGCATTGAACAGAAAAGGGAGCTTGCAGTTTATGTATGGATACTTAAATGAAAATAACCAAATTAGTACATTCCAGTTCAGGAAAGGGAAAGTAGAGGCATGATTGATAATTGAAATATCAATAATCTCAAATAGTTTCCATCTACCTTGTACTCAAATTATGTATTGGTTATGGACTGAAAAAAAAATTTTGCTGATTACTCTTTATAGTGTGCTGAATTTAATTTGGTAGTTATTATTGTCAAATTTATTAGTTTGCTCTTCATGGTATCTATGCATTTTGGTTGGAGAATCAAGATCTCCTGGTCATAATTGAAAGGCTCAGAGCAAGAACGATCCCTTGATTTTTCGGCCATTTTTGAAAGTGTTCAGAAGTAGTTGAAAACTATTATTGTTATCTCTTGTCAGCTGGCCTTAATTATTCCATATCGCAAGCGTTACGAACAGCTGAAGATATTTGTTAGACACATGCACCCTATTCTTAAACGGCAGAATTTGGACTACAGAATCATGGTTGTAGAACAGGTGTGTTACAATTTGCACTTGAAACAGTATGCACTAAGTCTCACTCAAAACTGAGGTGTCCTGCAGTATTCTGAATTGATTTTGATTTGTCAACTTCAGAAAACAGGATAGTTGTGGCAAATTTATAAGAACCTCAAGACTCTACTACCTTTGGATTATTTTATTTTTCCTTACATTTGATCCTTAATCACTTAAAAAATGGACTTTAGGTGTAGACTTCTCATTTTTCTCTGATTCAAATATTACTATGATTGACAATTTTTGTCAGATTTACTCTGAAACTCAGAAAATCATTAACACTTTGATTTGAATTTGAGGTAAATTTTTTAACAACCTATCAAAATAAAGTTTAAAATGCAAGCTACCTTCAGAACCACAAATGCATTGGCATTGAAGTTTCCAGCTCAGTTTTCTGATGCTTAATTGGCTTTTCCAAGAAACACAGTAGTTGCCCAGGGTAACAAATTGTCCCCTCAAAGTACTAGGTACATCAGTCGACCATGAAGTTTAACTATTTCTCTTAAAAGTTTCACTTGCCTTACTTTTTACACTTGATGTTGCTAATTTTTCTTTTTACTATCTAGGGTGGAACTACCATTTTTAACCGTGCCTTGCTTTTTAACATTGGCTATAAAGAAGCTCTTAAGTTTGATGATTTTGAGTGCTTTATATTCCATGACGTTGACTTAATACCTGAAGATGACCGAAATGATTACAGCTGTCCCACATCACCCAGACACTTGTCAGTTGCCATAGATAAATTTAATTATCGGTAAGTAGTTATGATCAACAGCCTTAAGAATACTTGTATGGTCTTCATGAATCTCAGCAAGCAGCACTTATCTAAATCTATTGGTGTATACATATTTATTTGATGATATTTCTGACAGTGATATACACAATTTCCTTGTATCCTTGTAAATTTTGCAGAACATTTACTAAATAGTTCTTTAAATTGTTCCTCTTTCAGATTGCCTTATTCAACTATTTTTGGAGGAGCTGGTGCTTTCTCCCGAGAACACTTTGAACTTGTAAATGGATTTTCAAACAAATTTTGGGGATGGGGAGGGGAAGATGATGATCTCTACAACAGGTGGAAGTTTTGTTTTTTCAGCTGATAATTTTTACAAGTCAAATTTTGCATCATGATGCAATAGGACAGTAAATCAGCCCTTCCCTACTTCCCAAAATTTTGCAGCAACATAAATGTTGATTCTCCTCTCTGTTCATTTATAAACACACTCTCTCACTCATTAACTCCTTTACCTGGGACATTTTTCCTTATCATTGATGCTTAAATAATGAAGTTAGCTCAAGTGTTGCTTGAGGCCAAGTGGGGAAACTCCTGTTGAAGCCATGTTTGCCCATTATTTTAGGATATCAGCCAAGCAACTGAAGTTAACTCGGCCATCAATGCAAGTAGGAAGATATAAAATGTTGAAGATGTTTCACACCAGTGGCAAGGCAGATCCAGATAGGTAAGTTTTTGACAAAATACTTGTTCATACTGATGTAGTCGATGGTAGCTGAGAAGACCTCTCCTACTGGTTAATTAAAAGTGAATTCATCATCAGAATGAAATCAAAGTTGTTTGTCAGTCAGGTTTGTTTGTTATTTTGGTAGAAAATGTTCTTTGTTGTGGAATGGTAACAGCATATTTCAGTCAAGGCGTCCTCTTTTGTTGTTGTTGTTTTCTGAAGGTGCACGTTTTCATAACAGATGTTACTTCATTCCACAGGTTTGCTAAACTAAAAGACTCTGCCCAGAGAATGCCTACTGATGGAATTAATTCTCTTCTATATAAAGTAGAAAATGTAACAGAACATCGCCTTTACACTCAGGTTACTGTAGATGTACGAGAGGCTATGCCACAGAAATTACAAAATTAACCATCGTACAGCAATTCATTTGTGCAAATCTACTATCAGAGTTTGTAGACATCTGAAGGTAGTCAATCCAAAACTCTTAAAATCTGCATCGCTTAAAAGTTCATTAGTCAAACCTAGTGGACGTAAACAAATCAAAGTTTGGATTATTCAATGGTATGCAGCATAACACCATTGTAAATTTACATGTTCTGTAGCCCTACATGTAAATAAGCAAATTGGTTTAACATTGGAATGATAGGTGATTAAAATATTTTATTTTTATATCTGCACAGCTAGTTGTGAGTAATATACAGTAGCCTCTGCATAGGCCCTCATTATTAGGACTTCGGCACAAGTGTTTCTTCAACTGCAGGAAAGTATGAAGCCTGGAACAACCCTAGCAGGGGGGAGAGGTCTGTGAGGCAGAGAAACACGCATCTTGCAACCCCAATAATGGGAGTGTGCTTGCAGGCAAAATATACAGTAAAACTACTCCTACTCCTCTGATATTTATTTGCTCTTTTTTACCTCTGCCTCTTGCACTATTTAAACCTCATTAGCTTCCATTTTGGTTTTTACACTGTGGTTTACAAAGAAATTGTTAGCAGTGGAAGAAAAATTTTGCAACTCTCTTTGACAAGTTTCTTCACCACTTTGTATGTCAAAACATTCTCCTTAAACAGTGTGCTAACAAAGGAAACCTTTGTACACTATGGTATGTGCAGCTTAATTTTAATTAAAACGGTTAAATTGATTGGAATAGACAGCATTACCTCATCAACACCATGATTGTGTACAACTAGGTTAAATTTTAAAAATAGAGCATAAATTTGTCATAAAAATTAGTTTGTATTTAACTTTTAGCAAGTAATATTAACTTCTGCTAAAATCATCAGTCTTAATTACACATTGTGCAAGAGAGTTCAAGGCAATTATCAGTTGGCTTTCCATCAGTATATTCAATTCTAAAGTACAATAATTGCCATTACTCTTGGTAAATATTCCTATTTTCTGAACAGTATTTGAAGAATAACTTTCCTGATTTTGGCTTTATGAAGACATAAGCCTGCTATGTAGTGGAGTGACATCTTAGTGGTACAGAAGTTTAATAGAAATGCTCTGTTATTTAAATAGGAGAACTTTATATTGTTGAATTTTTATATAGTTATTAAACTACAAAAAATTAAGGAAGTGATCTTGTATGTGTCCTCACTACCAGTCTGTGTTCCTGTGCCCCATTTGTTTTTAATTTCATCCTAAACTCATTAATGGTTTCACACTTCTTTTTGCATTCACTTTTTATACAATGCAACAACCACTAATAAAGAATATTAAGCATTTTCATATGCTTATTGAAGACCTAGAGATTTCTTTACAATCTGTCTTGCTATTTCATTGAATTTTTCTCGATTTTCTCTCCACATTTTCTAAGAGGAAAAAAGGAAACATGAATTAAGGTCTAAAACCTGAAAAGAAAAAGAACTGTCGTGCAGAGGTTCAGATCATTTTTACCTTGGAAGAAAATATTCAAACGTAATAAGTTTGAACCACAACATTTACATGTTGTAAAACTATTATGGACTTGAAGAGGGTTCCTCAAAGTATCAAGGAAAAAAAACCATACAGAATAAAGAAGAGAAAACAACCACAGCAAACATTTTATATCTCCTTCACACTGGAATAAAATAATGACCCAATCATAATAATACTCACCGAAGCATCTACATTTGCCCCACTTTCATCATTTGGTTCTGTGACAAACAATAACAAGGGAAAGAACTTAAAACAAATATGAACTCAAAGGTGAAAATGTGGTTTGTTGGTACTTCTTAGATGGACAATAATTATTGTCCTCAATGATCTGTCCAAACTTGCCAGTACAGATAGGTAGGCAGAATAGAGATTAGAGACAAATAACACTTAATAATGCAAAGGGTCCCACACAATTTCTTCACAGAATTAGAACTTACAGGGTACTAAGTGTTCAAGTTCAAATATTGAAATTACTTTCCGTTTTCAACATAAAGCTAGGTAAGATACTGGTACTCTCCATTGCATGTAAGTCTATATTCAAAATGGGACTTTCACCATTTAACTAACCTGCCAGCATACTAACAACAGACAGAAGTATTTTCTCTACAGACTGAACAGGACTCCATCTTTCAGCACTACTCTCATACCCCATGGGATCATCACCAGGGGCATGTAGAATGGAGATACACACTCTTCCATCAGGATAAACTTTAAAAAAGCACAGCAGAAACAAAAAAACATTCTGTAATTGAACCATTTGCACAATCATCCAAAATTATAAATAAGCACACCGTGAGGTAACATGTCCTATGAAACACCATCTTCATTAAAGGAACACAACACTACCTCTGACTGTGGAGCCTTGTAAGGCCTCCAATTATCAGGAGATACAATGTACATATATGTAGAAGGACACTGAGATGATTTAGTTTGTTCTGATAACTTCTTCTGTACTCCCCTCAAGTAAGAGATACAACTCTCAGATAATTCAGCAAGATGAATTTTGTGATTAAAAACCAAAAGCAAATATAATGAATAATAAGTGGAATCATGGTAAATCTCATACTCCACAGATAAACATATGATACATGAGAACAATTTGCTCATTGTACAAATTTTCCTTTGCCCCTGTGAAGCAGTTGAAAATTCTACCCAACCCACAAAATATCTGCATGTATTACCTTTTAATACTTGATCAGGGTGCATTTAGTTTTCCATAGAAAACATACTTAATAGGTAACCAAGGTACAGCAACATTGACAAAGGATGGGGAAGAGGGGTGCTCTGTTATATCACATGATACAGTAGATACAGGGGCCAGTTTACATTATCAGCACAGTTGATGAAACTGAATAATCTTGTTATACTACCCCATTGACCAGCAGTATAGTTTCTTATGAAACTTACCCCCTTTATCCATTTCTTATACAGTGTGTCTGTGAACAAATTGTCTCAATAGGTTTTGATTTCATGATTGTAGATCTGAGGGCATCTAAAAAATGAATTTTCCATTGTAAAAGGACTTTGCAAAGCTTGTTCAGTCCCATTTTTAAGGTCATACAACAGTACTTTAATATTACTTACCATTAGGATGGAACATTTCACATGTGAACTTCATTTTTGGAGGACTCAAAGGATAATCAGGAGGGAACACAAGTCTTGTGGTAAAAACACCTCCTTCAAATGGAGTTCCTTCTGGGCCTCTATAAAGAAACAAAGATTGACTCAGACTCCTGTAAACTTATAACAGTTGGGGCAAATATGACACTGTGGTTAGCCTGCTTGCCTCACTCCATAGTGGCCAGCATTCCCTCCACAGGAGGTTCAAGGACCTGCCATCACATGTAGGTTGAGTTTATTTTTGGTTCTCATCCTTGCCTAGAAAGTTTTCAAGGTTCTCTTATTTACCTTCCTCCACAAACACTAACAATCCAAAACTCTAATTTAACCTTGAGGGCAGCAGAGGAGAACACCACTTGTGTGGTGCTACTATCAATTCCTTTCCTTCACTTTATTCAATACATGAAAAGATGGGGAAACAAGAAATTCAGTCCAATTGACTGATACAGAGTTTCACAGTTCCCTGACAACAGTGACTATGGATAGTAATTATTTCTTTCTGTAGAGGGGATGCTACATGTAGTTCAGAACTGAATATTTTGAGGTTTCCCTGACAGTTGAGAGGTTGCCATTCATACTCCTCTAGACAAGAAGAGGCACAATGAAAATTATCCAACCCAAAAACTAAACAGTGAACCAACTATCACCCCATTATCCAGTGTTTATCATGCTATCACAATAACACATAACAATAACAAACGCAACAAAAATTTCCTCACTTACGTTATCAAAGCCTCCCATTCAAAAAAGTTTTCCTCAGATAGTGGTCCTTTAAACAAACAAAAACCATTGTTTAATTGAATCATTTAGCAATTAGTTTTATTCATATATTGATTTTCACTTGGAATAAACAAAAGAGAAAACCAATTTTAGAAAAATTATCATTTTAGTTTAAAGTTCTCTAGAAATTTTTCTCCCCTCCTTTAACCAAGCATACAAATTAATATGAGATTCCACAAAAAAAAATCAACATACATGTATCATCAAATATATTTAACACCCAAATAACTGTTATCAACTAAAAGAAACTTAGCAGACAACACACCTGCAAGAATACCTTCTGGAGAGTTCAGGGTTAGCTCTGTTGAATTGAAACACAATTTAATTAAAGTCTTCAATTGTTATTAGTTCAACTGTTATTAGTTCATTCAAGAGTATTAATTTGCTGCCATTTTTCGTTTCCTTGGGATGGACCCAATGAGAGTTTAAAATATCGATTAGCGATTATTTAACGCTAACTCTGATTACCGGTAATGAAGCGCTTTTCGAATATAACAAGATGCAATGATGTGACGGATTGAAATCTTATTCTGTAGTTACACACATTTTAACTGTTTTGACATATCATTTTCTAATTTCAGACCTATTCATTTCACGTGAGCAGTATTTAAACAGTTCCCAAGCTCAAAAAATAAATAACCTACGTCATTGTCTACATTTACGACTAAACATTCAGATGATCAGTTTCTAAACTAAACAAATTTTTAAGTTTTCTAGCAAAATTATATTTTTTGAATCTAGGTTGGAAAAATTACGAACTGTTACAAATAAGAATCACTACGAAATTTCAAACTTTTCGAGCTGACTTACGTTTATACTCAGCCATAAGCCTCTTGAGAGCAGCCCCTGCCATTTTTTTGTGCGTTTAGTTCCCAATGGCCAAAAAAGCTGCCTATTTTCTCAAGGAAACATCGCGTCTACACATCACTTTCTCAGAACTTGTTAGCCTTTGTACAAATTAGGAGCCCACTGAGATTTGGCCAGCACAGGTGCTTACGAACCGAAAGTACGTGGTATATGTCGATAACAAGATGGCGGCTGTTGCAAACGAATCCCAATTAATTCTACCGCTAGGTGAGTTTTACGTCTGTTTCCTTACGATTTATTACTTTAAACATTGACGATGGGTACGAGCTATAATAAATAGGTAAAATTTAATCCTGCTATAATGCAAAAAGTGGACAACTTCGTCAAATCCAGTATGGAAATGCGTCGTACACTTCTACCTTACAATAACACGTGCAACGATCGTGATTTATACGTAGCTGTCAAAGTATTAATTGCAGAAATGTTCGGCTGATGTGGAAGTAGATTCTCCCATCTGCAGCTATAAACAAATAATGAAGCAAAGTGAAAATAATTCGTTTGTAAAAAGTGTTTGTTTCTATCAGAATTAATCGACAAGTGCATTGGATCTCGAATTCACATTGTCATGAAGAGTGATAAGGAGATTGTCGGAGTACTTCTGGGGTTTGATGATTATGTCAGTATCCTTTCTGTCTGTTGACTACTTGGACAGTAACATATGCTGGTCCTACCAAATAAAACTTAACTAAATTAAACTACGCTTCAGAATAATTTAAATTAGTACAAGCTATTGTTCTTGGTCAACGAAAATGTAAGGAAAAGCTGCTGGCCTGTTAGAACCCCAACCCTATTATAGTCAATTCTGTGGACAATTTTAGTCCCCACCTTAGTCACTTTTGGGTGAATGCAATATTTGTAATCCCAACTTTGTCACTTTCTGTTTATGTAACTACCTTATAAAGCCTTTTTGATAGGCCATTTTTAAATCCCTAGTTAGCAGCATTTTCTTAACTCCAGAATCCCAAAAATGTGCAAGCCCATTCTGATAACTCTATTAAAAATGCAACACCATTGTGCACAATAGTCAATTAGTCACAAAAATGTGACCCCATCCAACAGCACTCTCCCAATAGCCTATTACATGGGTGTACCCCTTAGGACTTTTGTCCTTACTTCCTTCTGTTTCAGGTCTGTCATTTGTTTTATTTTGTGAGAACAATTTGCTATTCATCCTTGATTTGTTCTCAGACATTGTTTTAGAAGATGTTACAGTATTGTAAGTATACAGAATTTCAATTTTTCGCAATCTAATTAAGAGGTGTACATTGTGCATGCATTACCAACAGCGACTTTCTCTAACTTGTAAATAGATTTAACTGTGAGACTTGAAAGGCATTTCTCTAAATACCCTCACCCCCTCTCCACAGACATGATTTATGAGGTGGTAAGATCTAGTGGAAATGTTATGTTTAATTTTGACAGTGAAAGCACACCAGAAGGACGAAGAATGACAAAACTTGACCAGATTCTGCTCAATGGGAATAACATAACCATGGTATGTAAATCTAAAAATGTTGATAAGATTTTTGGTCAATGTTTACTTAAAGTAATCATAGTGAAGCCTTTGTTTGTAGGCACTAGGTGCCTTTGTCATTTATTGAGACAAAGCTTACCAAGTATGTGAAAGAAATCACCACAAACCCTGTACACACATAAACACTGATGTAGTTACCTGTTTTTTTTTTCTTTTTCATGGAGACCTTTGCATCATGTGAATATTTTGTACAGCGTGAACTGCTACCCTGAATTTATTATGTTTTCCCATGTTCCCTTCTCTTAATTTCTTTTCAGCTCATTCCTGGTGGAGAGTATCCTTTGTCAAATGACTTGCAATTGTCTCTTTTATCATTTGTAGGAGGTGTTTAAGTATTTTTGTCACTTTTCTATAAACTTGGTTCTCCTTCTTTTAGTAGTCCAGGATTTCCACATTTCCTTTTTTCCACCAAAATATACAGATTGTAAGATAAGAATTTTGCTGAGAACTTTGTCAGAATTTTTGTCAGTAAACACATACCATCCCTTTGTATTTTGATTTGGTTCAAGATTTTTCAAAAGGTTCTTTGCTCACTTGTTTGTTTAAGTGTTACATCATTTTTTTCTTTCCAGTTTTTGATATGGTAAAGAACATTACTTTCAGTTGTTAGTGACAAATTCATGAAATTGTTGCTTGGTTAATCAGCATTGAATCCTTAACAAATTCACAGGGGCCCGGAAATCTGATGTGTGCAACAAGCATTGAAAGGAATCAGCCTCTAAAATCATACATCTGTATATACAATGTCTGTTTTTAACAGATACACTCAGAGATCCTTCCCTCATTTACAGCTGTATTAGTTTCCAAGTGAAAAGAAATGGAATTAAAGAAAACATGTGGAGTCTTGATTCACTGAATAACTACTTAAGGATATCAAGGGTGGGGCTGTGACAAGACCCCTCACTTTCCCATTGCTTGTGTGGCTGGAAGAAGGGAAGTTTTTTCCAACACAAAGTGCAAATTTTGAAATGGACAAACCCCAACAATTGCACATATGTACCAAACAGGCCGCAAACCAATACACCAATTAGAACTGGTTTTAATTTGTTGTCTGGTTTAGTCCTTGCTTTTTCCCAACTCTCAAAGTCCCAATTCAACTAAGAAACAGTGGATGGACTGGCCCTCCTTAAATGTGTTACTGCTAGGTTTTTTCAAAAATTTTAAGCCTTTGACTCCATGGAGTGACTGGCATCTAACTTCCCCTGCCAACAACACCCCTAAATCAAAAATTGAGGTCATGACAATGAAGGAAATGATCACCTTAGCAGCCCCTTGGGAAATAAATGGAGAACAGTATGAAGAAAATGTATACTGATGTTGAGGTACAAAAGGTGTCCTAGTTTGTCCAAAGCCTGCTTTCTTTCACACCATTGTCCAAAGTACAAGCAAGGAGAGCAAAATGGTACCTAAGCAAACATAAAGGGTTATGGAAAAGAGAACATAGAAACATTTTTTCTTCTGCTCTATGCCTGTTCCTGGGATGTTCTTGACTATGAAGGAAAAAACCTACAGGGTAATGTACAGATGTATAAGTGTCTTCTGAACCTGAGATGGCTACTGAGGAAGAATTGAAGAGAAAGGAAAAAGTAAAACAAAAGAAAGCATGGCACTGACAGCAATCAGTTGTCTGAAGCCAACTTCTGTTGAGCTACATGCATTATACTGTTTTATTTATTTCCAACAATTTATTCCATAGAGAAATTTATTCAACATTCATTCATTAATTCTTGTTTTTTTTTTCATCATTAGAAAACCACTCTCTAAATACTTAAATTAGCTCAGCATTGTGTGTTGCCATATTTCAGATGTGTTTTTCACAGTAACAAATTCTGCACAAAATCACAAAACAATAATAACTTGAGTTAAAGTTTCTGTTTAAGCCCATCAATATTCAGCACTTTACTCCTCTCCTGTTCACTGTTAAGGATTCTTGACAGCCTGGTGTGCATGTTTTCAAGGGTCTTGGGTGAAATCTTTGTCAACAGGTTTAACTCTTGGATCCAGTGGTGTTGAATCTCTTTCTTTTGAAGTGCATCCCTCAAAAAGGTCACAAAACCTGTAAAATGCTCTGCTAAGCTGTCTTGACCCCAGTCACTGGTTGTTTTGTTGTACCAGAGTAGACCCATTTTGAGATGGAATGATGTTAAAGGTGAAAATGTTGCTTCTTTGTGGAGAACTGTGCTTACCACTTTAAACAAGCTGTGCCGACAACCATGGTCTTTGTCCATGTCTTTAAGGAGGGCCTTCTGCATTAAGGTGTATGACTTGATCCAGGCTGTGTCCTGGACCACACCCACTGGTAAATGACTGGGTTGAGAAGATGGTGGAACAAAATACTCACTGCCAAGTTGAAATGTTGGCACAAACTGAACCTCCAAAGCCTTTGACTGCTCACGCATGCAAACTTTCACACTACTGGAGTTTGAAGCTTTCAAAGACATTGTTGAAGCTCCTTCACTATTAATATTCTGCACAGCACTGGTAACTAGCTTGAAAAGCCAGTTTTGGAATTTTACAGGCATAAGGAAACCATCTGGATTGGAAAACTCTTTGTAAGGAGAATCTTCTGTTGCCTTTATACCTGCATATCCTGCATCATTTACTTCAAAATCAATGAGGCTGTTTTTTGCGTTCAAGGCAAGGAAGATAACAGCATCATCAGCATCGGAATGTGTGGTTTTCAAATTTTCATACAAACTTCCACCATATTCAAACTTACTAATGAGATCAGATTTCTCCATGCAGCATTTCAGCACTCCATCTTTCACAACCTGCTCCACAATTTCCTTACACCACTTTGTATCTTCACTGAGAATTGTGCCCAGGCTGTCAAGGAATCTTCGCAAGACTTGCAAAAGATCTGTAGAAGTTTGTGGCATATTGGGTTGACATAGCTTTGGTTTCCCTGGTGATGTGACTGGACAGTTTTCAACTCCATTGCCATTTGTAGTCATTGGAACTGTGACTGAATAAAAAGTTCTGTTTTTTAATATGCCATGTTAATTTTTCCAAACTTTAGATCCTGGAAAAATTAAATTAGATAGGTCTCTGACCACCATACAATCTTTTGTCCTACAAATGTCAACTATTGTTATTGCTGAGTACCACACAGACTCCAAGTGATTAATAAGTAACTTCTCCTTCTAATATCCATGGAATATTCAGCCAGCTGGTGTTAAGAATATTCAAACTTATCAGGTACAAGTTGTTATCAGATCTAACATCAAATTCTCATAACTAATTTACAAGGAAATCTGTAGCAGCTGGAGGGGAGAATTACCTTCAGATTTTGGGAATTAAAGGGTTCAGATGGCTAGGAATGAGTGAGGGGTACCACACATATATTATTTTTTTGTACAGAAGATTCTTATATGTTAAGACCCAAGGTTATCTCACAGGTAAAAAATGATAAAAGCAGAAACCAATCAAAGAGACACTTACTGTTACATTTAAGGACTTTATTCCTTTCTTTGTCACTATCCAAAATCCTGCGCAGCCTACAAGCCATGTTTTCCAGAGTTTTACCAGGTACATTTTCCAAGAGGTTGACCCCTTCAATCCAGAAGTGATCCAGAATCTTGCTATTTACTGCAGCATAGAGCAACTCCAAGTACTCAATAAACCTCTCCCCAAGCATGTCTTTATCCCATGAAACCTTTGCATTAGTGTTGTACCTCAAAAATACTGTTTTTAAATGGTAACTTGTCAGTTTAGCAAAAGTTGCCTCTCCTCTAATGATGCTTTTGATAATTCGGAGAAGTTCATGTCTACAACCACCATCCTCTTTATCCATTTCTTGCAGTCTTGCTTTCTCCTTCAGTGAGAATGACTGTCGCCAGAGAAGCTTGCAATCACAGGTGGCAGCCGTGTTCCCTGTATAGGATTTTGCCACAAAGTAGTCCATGGCACCAATCCTAAATGTTGGGACCAAATCAGCAGACAGCTTCTTTCCCAAGTTGCTGTCTGTGATATCAAGCTGAACGGCTGGGCCATGCGCTCTAACCTCCATCTGAACTGGTAAAGCAAGTTCATTAACTGCCTTCTGAACAAGGCCAAAGAACCAACTTGCTCGCAGCTTCTCAGGGACAAGATAACCATCTGTGTCTGTATACTTCTTTAGTGGTGAACCATCTTTTGATACCTTTAACAGAACAAAACCAGGGACCCCAGCATCCTCTTGTATCACTTCCTGTTTGGCAGTCTGTAATACTACCATGACATCCACCTCATCAGCTGCTTCAGTTTTAAGTCTCTCATACAGGCTTCCTGTGTATTCTAGCTTACTGATGGACAGGGGTTGTGAATTGTTAAAGATGTACTGTAATACACCATTTTCTAAGTAACTGTCTACCAGACGCTTAGCTTGATCAGTATCCTCTTTATTTATTTTCACATGGTCTGCAGAGAATCGCCTCAGCTGTTGAGTGAGCCCTGCAGTTTTGTCCAAGTTTAGTTTGGCTTGAAGCATGATTACATAGCTGAAAAAGGAGGAATTCTCCTCAGGTCATTTTCAATGAAATAACTCCACAAAAAACCTTTCACAAAAAATTACTTTTTTTTACCTTCCTAAAAAAATGTCATATATATATATATCTGCTACAGCTCACAATTTCTTCTCTGTAAAGTAACTTCAAATCAAAATTATAACTAATATATAAAAAGTGAACAAAAGGATACTGAGCTATTGAACAGGAAATGAAAGTAATTGTGCTAAACTGAGATTTTCCCCACATTTTTTGATGAGACATATTTTAAACTGTAGGTGGCACATCCACTCACTTAAGCAGAATGCAATTCATGCATATTTAATTTTACTCGAATCGCGTTCAAGTCAATCACATGAACACTTGAACTAAATGCGAGCTGTCGTTTGATGTTTAATTTGCGAAAGGTTACGAAGTTCAGTTTTTTCTGGTCCTTGCCAAGAATTCTATAAAACACTGCAGTCCCAAGAAATAGAAAATGCGAATAACTAATTGTGTCACTTCACCGACAGAAAAATAACTTCCTAGAAGTAACTACGTACTTACCCAGCTGTTTCCACCCGCTAACTTTTCCCGTCGGCTGAGAAACTGTATCTATAAGAACACAGATAAGTTTCCCCTTGATGTGCAAATTGAGAGAGAAAGTCGTAAGAGAGAAAGTACACTTCTAGACGACACGCTGATTTTCTAAGAAAGACAGTAGTCACTTCCGGTTTTCGGAGTTTCCCCCAACCCCCCTCCCGCCAGTCGAATTATACTATCGTTCCCAGTGCCTTCGTCTCCACGCAAAGTACAAAATACGATTGAACCTTTAAAATAGCGAATATCTCTCGATACTTAAGCAGATCGAACGATAGCTTTCTATCTGTGTAGAAGCAGTAAAATGTTTTCTAGCCAGTCCTGGTTATGGCGAACCCCCATGTTTAAATCTGAAAGCGCGTCACCTGGTCAGATACATTTAAAGCGTTCGCACATGCACAGACGTTTGACCGCTGTTCTTCTCTCTCATTTTTCTTTTCTTTTCTGCAGTTTATTGAAAAGATCAGTTACCAGCCAGAAAAGTACAAATGATGTCATTGACGTGTCGTGGCCCGCGAAAATTTGAATGTGGCAAATAGTTTGACATACACCTGTTAATTACATAAGAGGGTCTCTATTAATTGGGTTAACTGTCAGTCGTCAATCGGCCAAAAATTGAACTGTCAACTGTCTAGAAAGACAAATTTTTACTGTCAACCGTTAAAAAAGCAGCTTAGTAATAACTTTCAAACGCTTTAAAAGTGTTTCAGATCTCTCTATCTTAGCCGCCAATCTGGTTTTATCAACTGAGTTAGGAGCCATTACTTATGGGCTCCTGACTCAGTTGATATTATTATATTGGCCACTGCAGCCTTTCCCTGCGTTTAGGCAGTTCGGAAAGCCGCAAAACTCCAGGAAAAAAACTTATTTTCCAAATCGACACTCTTAATCCCCACGGTACCAACGAACGTTTTTAATTTAACTAATTAATTATTAATTTTAATTATTCTTGTTTTTCTCGTCGCCATATTACGACAGTCAATTGCACAGGATTTTGGAGTATTGTATTCTCTATAAAGGACTTTTCGCTCGCTGTCGATGAATAACAGTTGCCAAGTAGGTATTATACGTGACAACGTCATCACTACTCTTGCAACCACCCACGCCTGCGATGAATTTTGTGATGTTTTGACCTACTTCCTATTTCTTCTTTCTTAGAGGATTGATATCCTTATCTCACAGATCTTTTATTTTTGTGTTAAACTGCCAGAAAAATCACTGTTGTTCAAGGAGATACCATTTTAATCTGCCTTGTTTACTATCAAAAAGCAGATTCATACATCTGCTAAACAACGCTGTTATAAAACTTCAACTTATCGGTATGTGGGTTAGGAAGCAGATATTAACACTGGCTTTCTGTGGTGGCTGGGAGAGGGGGGAAGGATCATGAAATCTTCCACCGTCAATATGAGGGGATAAACAAAACATATACTTAAGGGGGGATCACGTAAAAGCTCCGTTGTCCAACAAAAAAAATAATGTACACCCACCCTCCCTCAGGTGATAACTAACGACCGGCCACCCCAGAGCTTAATAAAACCGTTTTCGAATTTAATTTACACAAGAGAATCAAAACTGTATATTCTCTAGATTTACTTCAATAACTTTGACCATTTTCGACATTTCCCAGCATGACTTTTTCTGGCCTGTTATTCAGCAGTACCTACAAATGTTTACCTATGACTGAAGTCATCTTGTCCAAATTTTATGGGAAATAGATTTTGGTGGAGACGTTAACAGTCAAATTGTTTTGTGTTAATACACAAGGCCACAGATAAAGCATTTTTCTGATGGTACAAAAATAAATAAAGCCAAAGTGATGATTCTAGTCAATAGGAACAGATTTAATGAATGCATATGTAGATGTGGAACATATCATTAAAGATACAGACAACTTGTCTTGGGGCTTGTGAGTTGGCAATGTCTGAATTCGCTACTTCTTCTACATTGGCGGGACAAATCTTTTATCCTCAATAAAAAAACTGCTTTATTTTCAAGCAATTAAGTAGTAGTCAAGCACAATAAGTATAATTTGATGGAGTAAAATTATCCAATTTACAAAACAAGGAGCTATAGCTACGTACAGACCTGTACAGTGTATGTAGCTTCAGATAGACGTTAAAGCACACATTTTATTTACAGTAATCGTTCCGATCCCAAAATGCTGGTTAACGTGACGTTACACCGAGAAAAAAAACAGAAGGAAAAAACAACAACAACCACTGTTAACCATCTCTCTATATAACGGAAAATTTGTTAGTTTTTCCGCAAATTCGTTTACGACTAACGGCTAAAATTTGTCAATTTTTACGTCTAACGGCTAAATTTTTTGGCCGTTTTACGGCTAACGGTTATCCCCATCGAGACCCTCTTGCATCGAGTCTTTAGGAAGAAAATAAAAAATCGCGCTGGATAAAGCCGTGCCGGAAAAAAGTCGTGCTGGGAAAAAAACTGAGGTGGTAACAACTGAAGTTGAAGTGGTGAACAACAAAGTTGATAAGAAATATATGATGGCACTAACTGGGCTCTGTATGAACCAACTCTTTATCCAGCACGAGACAAATATTATGGGATATAGTACTCAAACCACTTGCTACCTCTTCGATAGTTAAGCCTGATTATATAGGCATTGTTTTCAAGATCTCTTAGTTGAATAATAACCTCTAAAAATGAACAGAAAAGTATTGTTTTTCCAACATTGTGGAGAAAACACTCTGTTACCATAGAGTGCGAATTAAAGCGGAAAAACAAAGTGCATTATGGTAATCACTGAAAATACTGAATGTTGTACCTCTTTTTAAAATCTATCTGGTTTAATTTCAGATTTTCTCTCAGTTTACATTTATCAGTATGGTCCTTGCTAAACTGGTTCGAATTCGTTCATTAAGATGTGGGATGTTTTTGGTAAGTGAATTATTCATACTTTTTTCCAGTTTTATTTACGTTGGTAATAGGCTTTTTGGATAGGGACCAGGGCTACCAGGCTCTCTTTTCAGAGAATTGAGGAGGATATGTAGTGGATTGTAAATGTTAACAGGCATTTCAGAAAAGATAGAAGCCAAGCAGTGAAAAGTTACTTCTCGAGGATAGGGGAGGCTCTAAAAGTAAGAAATTTCGTATTGTGACTCATCACACAGAGCCTGAAAGTTTTGCTCATAAAGTCATTATTAGCTAACTTTCCTTTTCCATTGAGATAAAAATTTTGGAGAAAATCACTGTGTACTCTAAACTCAACCATCAATATCCACAAACTCGAGAATACTTATGATAACTTATCAATTCACAACTTTTTATTAATTCTTGGGAAAACTGATTTGATTTAAATTGTTTCCATTTTCCATCTAGCTCACCTGTATTGTGTTAGCTCTGTCTATACATGAGGCTGTGCACTGGTTACCGATGATTTCAAGCTCGAGACTGTCTCCAAAAGAGAACTTGGAAACAACCCGTGCATCAGGTAAGAACGCCCGTGATTAACACCACAATCCCTCTAAACGTAAAAGAGCACCGCAGTTTTAATTATTCGTCAAATAGGACGCTTGATAATGAAATAATTGCATTTCTGGTACAAACCTAGCGACAATAGATATGATCAGTAAATTTCTTTAACGGTACCTGACCTCCCATATCAGCTTAACATAAAGTGATAGTAATAAAGTTCCTATAGAGGGCAGCTACTTGATCATAGCGCGCATTTTGAGGAATGAAGAAATAAAGAACAATTAAAATTATGCAAAAAAAATTCACTTAAGCATAAGAAGGCAGCGTAACGGTCCAAAGAGAAGGGTAAATAATTTTCCGACGGGATTTCCGTTCTCAGACGAACTAAAATCAAGTGATTTCATTTTGTTTACTTCTTGAGGGTATCAGTAAGGAAATGAACACAGCTTCAAAACGTACGTGCTGAGCTGTTGTCTAGTTGCTCATAAAATGTTTTGTATTGCCACACGATCTCGTGGCTATCCCTAATTAGACCCCGTCCATTATACGCCGGCGAAATTTGAAAGCGTAATTTGTTTTTTTTAACTAGGCCACCGAACCGAAGTCAAGTGCAAGCCTCACAGGTAGGAAGAAGCATAACTGATACTCTGTTGTAGTAATAAGGCTTAATTTTGTATTCAGCCGCTAACTTCTTCATTTATTCTAGAAAGATTGATGCACGTGTCGTGTCGCTTCGTTATTGTAGCAAGGATGTGGTATCTAAAGAAGTTTACATAATACGTAGAATAGTAGTAAATATCTTGTTCAAATATCTTCAGATGCTGACTCAAAAGCGCAATTCATTGGCAGATACGATCGAGTAATGCTACCTATTGCTGCCTAACTGGATGACCTAAATGAACCATGTCCGTTTCTTTTCTTAGACCAGATCGACATGGTATAAAGCAAATTATTGAACATTATGGACCGTTAGGACTTATAGAAAATAGGACTTGTGACGACACTCATTACCCAGACATCTGCGCGTTCCATTATACAGAGTCTGGAGATCAGATCCTGACATGTGACCCCAAGGTTTGTGGCTCGTCCGCAGTTCAAATAGCTTCTGTTGATCCTAAAATGGGAAAAGCCGTGACAAAGTGGAAACTGTTGTCAAAAGAACAGATCGATCAAACGGTTCAAAAGGCCGTCAAAACCAATCTGGAAAGAGGATTTAGTTTTTTTTTCGTAAGGTGTGGAGAAATTTTCCAAGTGCTCAGCTTTCCTCCGGTCTTGAAGAAAGTCGATGGCGGCAAAAAGAGAACTAAAATCAATTTAAATGTGATTCTGTTAGACTCCATCTCCAGGCCGCATTTTTACCGAATTCTTCCAAGGGCTGTAAAGGCTCTGCACGATATTTCACACGATCCTAAGATTCAGGCTACCGCCTTGGACTTTGAACTTCTCCAGAGCATCGGACAACAGACATTTGAAAACATGAGGCCATTCTTCTGTGGCGTCGTCGAAGGTTAGTTGAAGAAAATACGTTTAAAACTGAATGGTGTGAGTTATCCCATCTTGTTGGCTAAGAATTCTTTACGTTGTACTTATGACCACATGAAGATGACAGTGATCTTCCCAATAATAGACACTATTTAAGCAGAAGTCGAAATGAGTCACTAACTCCATTAAGTTGTGTTCATTACTGCGAAGATCACTCTCGTATTAATTTTATTATCGGCAGTTCACATATATGATTTCCATAAATTCACAGACATTGATAAGAAATTGTCTGTAACGTTTTCAGACGATAACAAAGTTACTGCCTCTGCAAAAAACACCAAAGCCTCCCTGGGTGTGGAGGTGTTGTATGGGACCTTCAAGAAATGGGGCTACCAGACGTTCTTTCAAGAGGATCTTTGTTGGTATGATATTTGGGGGAGTGCTTTAACAGACATTGGTAAAAGAGCAACACCTCAGTCGGGTTCTGAGTTCAGAGAAAGGTAACAACCTGGTCCATGCTGCATGTTTGATTCTGTAATGATGCGTTGTTTTGATACAGGTGTTATGTAGGTTTTTAAGGTAATAGGCCATTTTACAGTTATGTACTTAGTTGCCAAGCCTTTGATTTGGAGTGAGGCTGAAGGTGACCTTGTTGTGATAGAGACCAGTATCTAGTTAGCATGATAACAAAGTAATTTGCATTTGAAAAGCAGCAAGGTTTGTATCATAACAAGGTCACCCTAAGCCTCATTCCAGTTCAAGGGCTTGGCAACCAAGCACACAACTGTAAAATGGACTATTGTTAGACTGTTTCTGCTGAGCACAAAAGTTCTTATAATGTATAAGAGCCTGTGGCTGACTAACTATAGCTTGATTGAGGCTTGTAAGATGGAATATTAGTTGAAGATCTCGCCATGTACACCTTAGTATGAAGTTAGTAAATATGTGCCTATAGAGTTTGACTGATACCAGGCAAGTTAAATTCCACTGAATATTTTTACCTGGATGGGTCTCTGTGTGAGTGCACACAACAATCAAAGATCTTCGGGGCAGAGTCAGTATACAGTCAAGACCACTTGCGAAAATAAAAT